AAAACTCAAAACCTCACTGCACAATTATTTTAGGATTATTTCTTCTACTCCTGAAGAATAGAGTGTATGCATTATATACTACAGTGAATCAACAAAGCAGAAAAAGGCTAAGAGAAAGGCCAACTTAACATTAAACTACATAGACTTTTTTCTTGTTAAGACACTTTGCATGAATATAAAAATATATTCAGTCTTCTTGTGGATTTGTAGTTAATTAGCACTTATATGTGTAAAAAGGGTATTTTATTAAAAAAAATGTTGAACTATGTAAGAGTAAAGAAAAAAAAGATGACTTTTCACTTATAAACAGAAGGTGGCATCAGCTGTCTACTTTAAATTTTTGTAACTTTCTGAAGTAATTGAAATTTCAGAACTGTGGGGTGAACTACTTAAGAATTTGTAGCCTGCTTTTAAATAGTTTCAAATCAAGGCACAAGGAACAAATTAATGGATGAAATTAATAACCCAGTAGAAATCTGGAATAGGAGCACATGTGAAACATTTTCCAAACTGCAATCTAACTGGCTGATATTTTTACTGAAATAGTAAAAACATAGCTAGCATTTTAACTAAAATTAGCTCTGAAAAGAATGTATTCTTTTTTTCAAAAAAGTCAGAAGGATTTATACACCGTAGGAGACTTTCTACTAAAATGATACATATTTTATTATCTTGCCCCTAAAGCTTTTATAAAGTTTGCACTGAATTGTCCAAAAACACATGATGGTTAGTTTCAAACCAGATTCTATGCTGAAACCCAATTAATATTCAGTGCCTTCTTTTAAGTTGAAATCCATTAATTTGTACCCTGCATTCTGAAACAATGGATGGCACTTATTATCAACTTCTAGGTGGTAACATCCTTTTAGACATTTGAAGAGTGCTATCATATACTCTCTTTGCAAACTCACTCTTTTCAAGAATAAACATTTCCAATTCCTTCAATCATTCTTCATAACATTTAGATTTTAATCTCCTGATCATCTTCCTTTAACACTGTTCTGGTTTGTCTTAAACCCTTACTAAACTATGGTGCTCAAAGTGAGATAGAATACGTGTTAGAATGCATACAATTAAAAGTGCTATATAAAGTAAATTAGAGCTTGTGAAATCTCTTTAAATAGTTTTGTAACATATATTGCAAACTTGTAAACTAGCAAAACTGGCAGTCTAAATTGTTTTAAATTATTGTATTGCTGATCTTGGACTATATTGCATTATATCTTTATGTTTTGCATTGCACTTAGATATTAACTGCATTTCAAATAAAAATACTAAAATTATTTAACCCTACTGAAGAACTCTAAACAAAGTTAGAATCAAACATCTAATGATCTGTAACAACGAACATGTAATTAATGAATGCAAAGCTGGCAATAACATTAATTAAAAGTGAGATCATGCTGATTTTTTAAAATATTTTTGAACAAAATATCATGCTTTAGAAGCCAGGCTTCTATATTCTTGTGAGAGCTCTTTCTTCATTCTCTGTAATTATGATCTTAATAGCCCATTCTTAACTAGGGCAATGAAATTCTCCAGCTAGCAGTGGTCCCTCCACACTTTAAATGCATTGTTCTACAAAACTGATATACTCAGTTTATGGTAGACATTTAAATTAGTTTCAATCAGGCAATATAAGCAAAATTTATTTGAACATATAACTGGGTTTTCCATGGCTCAACACATAAGCCAAGTTTTAAAAATAGCGATCCTCTTACTGCATATATTAATGTTTTTGTTCTAAGAGCCTAGTTGATACTTTTAAAATATTAATTAAGGAGGGTCTAAATTATACATTGGTATTGAAATGAATCTAACTGGCTGATATTTTTACTGAAATAGTAAAAACATAGCTAGCATTTTAACTAAAATTTAGCTCTGAAAATAATGTATTCTTTTTTTCAAAAAAGTCAGAAGGATTTATACACCGTAGGAAAACTAAATATCAAGGCAAAACATAATACCTGGCAGCATATTTTGATCAATTAATCAGTTGGACTATTAGTTATCTTAAGAAAATTCATTACCAAAACTTAGAATGATAGCTACTATTATAGATGAATAATACTCAATTGTTCACATTTAAAAATTATTTTAATGTTACCTAGAGTCATATATCTGAGAAGGATAACTACATAAATCTAATAAATAAATGAATATTTTTTCCCTTCCAAGAATTAACCATTTTATTGCCAAGTTTCATGCACACAGTTTCATTGTAAAATTCTCAGATAATCGAAAATACTTTTTTTTAAAGCACAGATATGCACTTAACAGAAATCAGATATTAAAATGATATCATGGAACAATGTAGAGAACCCACATGATGTTTTCTGGTGAATTCACAAGACTTTTCACCTAATGTACATGTGCCATAGAGCTTGGCAATGGAAATTTACATTCTGGGGGAAAAAATAAATGCAACAACAGAAATAGGTAGAAGTCCCTGCTAAACAGGAATAGGTAAGGATTGTGCATAGACAAAATACCTTCAAAATACCTTCAATAATTTCTTGAGGCAATTGACCTAGAGAGTAACATCTATGGTTTTAAACATCAAGACATCTTCTGAAAAACTTGTTTCTCATCATTTGATTCTAATTAGATTCTAATTCACATTTCCTCCCTAAATCTGCTGTATGCTATCCAGAGTCACTTTTGGTGAGATAGGCGTAACAGCCTTTGGTTAGTTTCAGCACATTCAACAGTTACAACCTTTTTGGAGCAAGGAGACAATGACTACAGTAATTCATGCCATTGTCATCTTCTGATCATACAATTGCAATGTGTTTATATGGGCTGCCCTTGCCAAAGCTATAAATAGTGTACAATGCAGCTGCCTACTTATAGCTGGTAGAAGCCACTACAGCAAAGTGATATTGATATTGTGAGGGGTACACTGGTTGCAAATTAGTTCTAAGCCCAAATTAAAGTGCAGGTAAAATCCTATAACATTCTTATGGCTCCAATTGCACTACACCAAATTCCAGGTTGAATTTTCCAGCCCAATATTTCAGGCTGAAAAGACGTGCTACATGTTCTTACGCCTACCTTCTTGGATGCATTCCCCTTACCTTGGAACAGCTTGCCCAAGGTCAGGATGGGTTCCTCCTAGTAGAGACTGAAGAGCATCTTTTTCCACATAGCCCCTGAAGGAGATAGTGCTACTCCATAAAGATTCGTGGTAGCCAATAGCAGAAGCCATATCCAGGGGGGTGGGGAAGGGGAGCTAGCAGGTTGACCAATGTGATGCAATTCAGAGAAAACAGCATTCTCCCTAAAATTAAATTGGTTTCAAACTTGCTCTGGTTTAGAAAGGCCATCAAAAGCCAGCTATTACTGGAGACTTTGTGGGGAAATGTATGGTATTTTCTACAATAAGTTTTAAATTTTATCTGGCAAATGAAATGAACCTTTGTTTTCACTTTTACTGTTTTAATCCAGGTTACCTGTTAAAGAGTCACAGAATCTCAAATGAGCATGTTGTTCCTAAGGTTGTTACTAATATTTTAAAAGTTGCATAAAATGTATTTAAATAAAATTTTTAAAAATGACCTTGCCACACAGTAAGGCAAATGAAAATGCAGAACCTGTTGGTCAACAATTCTACACACATCTAAAAATATCAAAAGATGGTTGTTTCTTCCATTTATTACACAACAGTGGGACGTGGCCCTAATTAGCATATTTAGGTAATTCTTACATATCATCCCACATTTTATGATGATGCTGATAAATACACACCCAAAGGAAGGGCTGCTGGAAAATATAAAATTAAAAAATTCCGGTTCTCAAACTTAAAATAATGTATAATCTTCAGGTCTGAGTATAAATTGCACATTAGCAAATACAAAGGAAAGAAGCTAAACCACCCTTCTTGTTAATTAAATTACCCTCTTGTTAGACACAGATCACATATAGACTAGTCTGTTGGGTACAATTTGTAATGGATACAATTTCTAACTACAAGCTATATGAAAGGCACAAGAATTGCAGAACATGACAGCTTTTTTCCCATCCTTTATTCTTCCATTATACGGATTTAGAGGTATGCAGTCTAAAACTAAAAAGATCCAAAAAGAGCAACTAATCAAACCTTTATTATGATAAATATCACAACTTTGAACCCCTTCAAACTCATGTTGTTTTACAAATTTCTCAAGACCTCTTCCAAAGTAAGATCCAATGGAAGCAAGTTCTTGAAGATAAAGAAATGAACAGATAAGGCTAACGAAACCATCATCTTTACCCTTTACTTATAAAAATGTCCGAATGTTTCATTTTAGTTAAGCTTCAGTCCCCTCCAATTTCTGCTTTTCCAACTGTCAGGTACTTTTTCTGAAACAAAACAACTAGGGCCTGTATAAGTATGCCACACAAAGCCACAACACCAATTTATATAAAGACCTCAACAATAGCTATTTTAAATCTTTTTCTTCTTATTTCAAACCATGGATCTTGTCTTTTGCACTGCTACTATAGATAGTTTTTCTAGTGAACTACTCAACATTATCTGAAAATAGGAAGAGATAAACACACTTTGGTATCAAAATGAGGTTGCAGTGAGTAGGCCAGAAGTTTCAATAATAAGTATAAATATAAGTTGCATTTGAGCACTGCACTAACACGCAAAAGCATCTCAATAAATTCATATTTAAAACTCACAGAATTCCCTGTAAGAATATTGGGGTTTCAGGTACCAGAATTCTCAGCCATTATACTCAAGCAGAATTCTGGAAGTTGGATGCATGCAGAGAATCAAGCTGGGAAAAGTTCACAAATACAGTTTAAACTGCAGCCTCTACTTTCTGTTATGATCAAGATGAAACTTAAATTAAAATGGCTATTTATATTCAGAACAATGGCAAGCAAAGAACGTAAATATTTGTTTTCTCAGCAGAAGAGCTGTATAATATGAATACACACACAACAGAAACATGACATGCAGAAGAAATGTAAATAGTTAATGGAGTGCAAAAGAAGTTAAAGCAGATTACCTGAAGGCTCACTCAGCTTTGACGGAAACATAGAAATGGGTTTCTCCTTTTCTTTAACTGAAACATCTTGGCTCTCAGCTCCCTTTCTTACATCGACTACTTTTTTCTCTGAGGGAAAAGGAGTAACATCAGTTGGGGGGAAATCCTCCTTAGCTGCTTCTCTGCCCAGGTCTTCAGAGGATTTTTCCAAAGAAAGATCCTGCTCTTCAAATTTCATATGTATGTTTTTTAGAGACAAGTCCTGTGCTACTTCTTGGTAAGCAGGTGGTATCAGCTCAGCTTGAAGAGTTTCACAAGGCCTTTTACTTTCATTCTCCTTTAATATATCTCCGGTACTTCTCATCAGGTTGTCAACTTGATAAGGGACTGTGCCATCTGCCTCTGGAGAGGACTGTGCAGACAGCACAATTTTTTCTTTCACTATGGGTTCCTTAAAAACAGGAAAACCATCATTATACCCACCAAGTTCTTCCATATGTTGCTGTGGAGCCTTTTCTTTCTTAGCTAGATCTGCAGCCTCAGCTTCCAAACACCAAGTAGTTGGTTCATTTTTTGAAGTTTCCAGTTGAGGCTGGAATGACTCCAAGTAGGGTTCACTAAGAGAAGATTGTACTTCTTTGTATATTTCTTTCTGGGCTCCATTTGATATAATATTAGTAGCTGTTTCAAATAATGACACTTTCACAGCTGCTTCTTTCTGCACAAGATTAATGTCTGGTTGACTACTAAATGAATAGCTTTTGTCAGATGGCAATGAGTTCCTTTCAAGATGCTCACTGTACTCAGGCACAGGTTGCAATACACACTCTGTGGTTTTTGTTTTCGAATATTCTGTGAACTCTGATGAAGGTATTTTAGTCCCTTTAACTAAATCACATGCAATTGATATATATGAAGTATCTAAATCTTCCAGAGGTGGGTTACTCTCATTTTCAGGTTTCTTAGAAGCTTCAACCATGACTTCTTTTGCTTGGATTACTGGTACTTTTGTTGCTTCCTGATAAGATGGAGGCTTCTCAGATTTCTGTAATACATTCTCATAATCGTTCTCATATTCATCCTCAGCAGTGAACGTTTCAAGTGGGGATATTTCAAGCTGCCCAAGAGGCCCTCCAACCACAGCAGAGTTTGCAGTTAATGGTGCTTCCATAACAATGTCTGGTAAGATAGGGGATGGAGATGTTTCAGACCCTCCTTCAAAGGAAGGACAGAGCTGTACAGCAACATTCAAAGACTCTTGTGATAACTCAGATGTTTGAACCAAATCAATCTTTTTTTCATAAGCAAGCTTGGGACTAATTACATCATGTAGTTCACTCTCAAAAGCTTCTTGAACCAAATCTGGAGTTAAGCCTTCAGGGACATTAGTATCAGAGACCTTCTTCAACAGAATCTCTTCTGTCTTTGAATCAACTTTCTGCTCTTGGCCACTTGTCAAATCAATATGGGTACTGCCAAATTGGTCCATCATTTCTGCTATCTTTTTTTCATCTGTTTTATTTTCATATGCCTTTTCCTCTGTTAGAGGGAGAGATGTAACCATGTTGTTCTCAATTTTATCTGATGGTTCAAATTCTGTACAAGTAATATAAGACTGTGAAGATTCCTTTGAAGCTTCTGGAATACTGGGGAAAGAAATAGCTTCATTGCTGCTTTCATTCTCTTTTTCAATGACTTTGTGGGCAGGCAGAATTTTAGCTTCCTTGATGTATTTGTCTGCAATACTTTCTAATTTCTTGTCTATCTCATTCTCAGATACATCCTTAAAATTACTGCTTTCATTACTAACCCAGGAGAGTTCAAAAGGCTTTAAATCTGCATATTCATCTCTTGAATAATGATTATCAATTAAAGTTATATTTTCACCATGATCATAGATAGCATGCTTCTCCTCTTCAAGATACTCTTTTTTATCTTGCTCTACAAATAATTCAACAGGTGATTCTAGAGAAAAATCCTGTTGGCATACGGGTAATTCTTTTGTATCAGGAATTATTTTAGCATCCAATGGTTCCTTAGTCTGAAATAGGCAGAATGAATGATCCGCAGAGTATGAAGGTTTCACATTTGCAAATTCATTGCCATCATCTGCAAGGAATGGGTTTTGTGCAGTCTGGGTAGTAAGTTTAAACACATCACTTCCAATTTGACTGTAACTATGTTTTGCAGATAGTTCATCTGATAATGTATCAAGAGCCGCATACTCTTTAAAAGGATTGACTGAAAGAGTAGAGAGGGAGGGAAGAGAAGCAGTAGCATCAAGAGAGGCAGCAGCAAAATCTTCTTGCCTGGCTGAGCATGCATGACCCAGTTGTTCTTGCAAGTCCATACCTTTGTCTGTGGCCGTGGACAGAAAGGACAGTTAGCAGCAATGCAAGTAACCTCAAAAGTTAAAGCAATGCTAATGACAGGTTCCAAAACAATAGCTAGCCCAAATCTTATTGTAGAATGATTAACAGAAAAAGCATGCAAGATTAAGAAAATAGAATCAAAGTTAATGAAGCTGTGAATGCTATGCAAAATAATAAACCCCTGGAAGAATTCAGAACAGTACTAAATGTACAAGCTTCATAACACAGATATGAGTCATAGTTCTCCTTTATCTTAATTCTCCCCTCATTTTTTTTAAAGTTGCCAATGAAGATATATTATCACTGAACAATAATTCAGAGATTGGCTAGTGGCTACAGACAGGCATTTCTTTTTCCCTCCCCTGCTTTTTCTGTTATGTGCATTAGCATTAGCTATGTTCAGTACTAATCAGCTTCAGTGAAAAACTTGTTCAGCATTAACCAGAAATACTAACAGTGTGAAAAGTAAACCCTAGGAAAGAGGAAATTAATGCTAGGGAAAAGGAAGAAAATACAAGCCTGTAGCCTATTTCCAATTTTAAAATCTGGTAACCATTACACTTGTACTGGTCCATAATGTCAGATAAAAAGGAAAAAAAACTTATTACAATTACAGTAGCAAGCAGCACTAACACTAATACATCATTAATTCTACATAATTAATGCTAACTATGTCAGCAACAGGAACTATATTAAAAACAGTTTATCAGTACCTAAATCATCTTGTAGACAAGGGTCCAAGAATTCAAAAAGTGTGTTTTGAATTTAAAAGCATTCACTCTGAATTTGCATTTTATTTTATATCATTAAAAAAACAAAGTTTATGTTTATTAAATTTGGGTTTAACATTCTTGGATCCAAACCAAATTTTAGTAAATACACAAAGATGCTATTAGTGGGAAGGGAATACAAAATACACTGGGCGTACTCTAGTGCAAAAGGCTAGCTGAAATGACTTGCCTGCAGAAGAATGCATCAGAGGTTCAGATGCAACAGGAAGAGCAAAAAGTGTCTCATCTGAAAAACAAATACAGTATGACCTCAGCAGAAATAAGTATGGAGAACAAAATATTTTCAAAAAAAAATAAGGGAAGGAAATATTCAATTTACAATCTTTAACAGATCTTTTACACAAGAGAAATGAAGAAAAAATGTGAATATGGGAGTTACATACTATATGTCTCCAGTTTTGCACTACAAAGTGTACATGATATCAATTATATTAGAGGGAGATTTGGGATCACCAGTCAGGCAGATCACCAGTCACAAAGCACATTACATTAAACAAAATCAAATGCAGACATTTAGAGCATCTAATAACTTCACAAATGCAGATAAATATTTCAGTTCATTTTATCAGTCACAAGGACAGTTTTATGAGATGGGGTTGTATGTGCTTCCAGTAAGACAGGGGTGTCATGTATCGTGACTTTCCCCCTTTACTAAGCCGGACGTGGGTGTGTCCAGCGCATGATGCATCCGGCCCACTGCCGTGAGTTTGACTGCACTGAGGTAAGAGATAAAGACTCCTAACTTTTTCTAGCCTCCCACCTTTTCCAATTAATATGTAAATGAGTATTAAATAATAATTGTACCTCTGGTAAAACTAAATACCACAGTGAACTTAGTAATGTAAAATAATTTTAGGAACCACTTGTTCCTAAATTGTTATTGTTACTGAACAATCAAAAATATCAATATAAAGTCATGAAACTGCAAGATAAGCAATATGCAATATGCTAAATTGAAATTTCATATTTGTACAGATGAATCCTTTTTCTTCTTCCACAAATCTAGGAAGTTCTTGCTGCATTTTCATTTTCAGTAGTTAGTAATATGCAATAATACTGAAGGATTTACACTGAATCAAACAGTAAAACATCATCATTTCGGATACTGGGGAGGGTTTCCCCAGCTTTTTAGTTTACATCTTTGAACAATTCTGACAAGAAATTACTTCACAAAAAGAATGCTGAAGAAAACAAAAGTGCATACTGGCTTGATTAGTCAGCTTTGATTCAACGTGACAAAGCAACAGGATTCAATTTTCCAAATCAATTTTAAAAAGTATTTATGCATACATAAAAGCTCTGCCACACTATTAAAACAATTTAGACAGATTTGATTCAACTACTCGATTTGATTTGGAAAGTCAAATCCATTCAGATACTGTATTTAATTGAACTGTTTTCTAATCTGAGACAAGATACTGCTAGAGGTTACAATATTCAGATATAAAACTGATGCTTTGGATTCAGTATGAGCACTTCACTATGCTTTTCATTAGTTCCTTGGAGAAGTGTACCATTTAGTTCAGCAGTCACCAACCAGTGGTCCATGACCTGTTTTGGTGGTCTGCAGAAAAATTATTTGCATTTTTTATATTGCATTAAATACTCATTTAACTTTTTAAAAAATTCATATTAGTGGTACACAGGATTTAAAATTGTGGATTTAGTGTCCCTGAGGTCCGAAAGTTTGACGATCCCTGATTTAAGACCACAAAAGGCATGGCCCGAGTTGGATCTGATTACTACATGGTTCTATGCTTTCCAAGATACACCTGTTAACTGTTTTCATTAAGGTAAAATAAATTTGATCTTTAAAAACTATTTAGAAAGTGAGCAAACCAGACCATATTTAAGGGAAGCAATGCACATTATAGCTGCATGCCATTAAAGGTAGATAGCTGACATGAGCTCATTCTCAATACTTTTGAAGATGGTTTGCTTCCAAAAGTTAGTACAAGTAAAATATTTGAAGATTTCCACAGTGAAATGGCATAAGGAAAACAAATGGGGGAGCTACTGGCAGATCATTTTATGCAATTATAATTGCTCACAACTGTAGACATAATACCTGCTGGAAGTGTTGTAGTAAGGGACCCTAACATAATGTAGAGGAAATTCCTTTTGAATATTGTTTTGGTATTTAATAGTCAATTGGAAGGTTGGCTACATATTCGTTATTGGATTTTGGACTGCATATTAACTCCTGTATCCCTAAGGGTTATACTGATGATAAAAGGATGTACTATCAACAGGCTTATATGGGCTGCAGCCTGTGAGAATGCAATTGACATGGTATAGCTAAATGTCTATGGAAATTCTCAGTTATTCAGGTCATGGTTGAAGAGTTGAAGAAGTTTCTTGGATGAGAAGCAAAACGTCTTCAAAGAAAAAGAAAAACCAGGAACTAGTTGCCTCTTGAAAAGCATCTTTGGGAAAATTGACATGGTAATTAATTTGAACAAATGGCATGTCAGTAACTGCCTTTAGAAGCTGAAAGCTCTCAGTCATTATCACAAGCATTACAGGTAGTCCTCAACTTATCACCACAATTAGGACCAGAACTTCCATTACTAAGCAATGTGGTTAAGTGAATCATTCTGAATCATTACCTTGGAAACTAAACAGGTCATGCCCTCTATGAGGTGGAGTGCTTTTTAGTCCAGTGTAGCAGCAATCTGTCAAATGGTCCTCTGTGGAATGAAGGGCTACTATTGTTAAATAGAGAAGCTATAGTGGTTGTATTTCCTTTTGTGAATAGTGGCAGTATTCTTAAAGCAGCTACCTGGTTGCATAGGTTAAGTCGCAACATTCTCAGGCAATGCTGGAAAGGAATTCTAGGACAGCTAGGACAATCCTTTGCACTGCGGAGGAGTGCTGAGGAGCACAGGTGGGTGAGTGCTACAAATGGGCACTAGAGAATGTAATCCGGCAAGTGTTGTGGATGCTAGGAGGGTGGATTGCGGGCCTGGCAGAAGTAAATATGACCTGAATATTTATCACATGATCAGGGGATGCTGCAACATTTTTAAAGCAGTTTTCACACTTGTAATTTTGAATGGTCGCTGAATAGTTGCTGAACAAATGAATGTTAAGCAAGGACTAAGTGTAACTGGATTTTTTTCTATATTATGTTACTTTGAATATTAAGATTTCAGTTTTTAATGAATTTCTACTTTTATAGTACCAGATGATATGAGACCATGACATAAAAGTATTTTTACCGGTTATGAATTCAAGAAATGCCTATTGCCAATAGCTAGACAAGAAAGGTTAACCTAATGGAAATCAGAAAAGAGAAAGGTATCACTCCACCAACTCTGTATTTCAAGGAGCAGAGATATACACAAATGTTGCTCCATTATTGCAGTAGCAAGTTGCTCTTTTTTATTCTCTAAACACATTTGCATTCTTGTTTCTGCTTGTAAGCAGTTTCATTCATCTCCACAGGTTCTGAACTAAAATATTGTTTCACTTTCTTACACGTATTATGTGCTGCTACTTTTAGAAAAGCAGCTGAAAACATTGTTTTAAAAATAAATATTTCTCCATTTCATTGATGGTATATGTTATATTGAACACCCCTTCATATATAACATATTGTACAATACACTTCTAAAGTATGTGCTCTTATTTTGGAATTTTCCCTCAATTTCTAAAAACCAAATTTTATTTAGCCTTTGATTTTTTTAAATATTTAAGCAAAGGAACTAATTCTATTTTTATTCTGAATAGTCATCTCTATGCTTATTCAACAGGGAAAAAAGATCTGGTAAAGGAAAATAAAGAAGCACATTATGAAATAATTTTAAGTGTAGTGATTAAGGCACCATGCTGAGGGAGATTGTGAGTTGTAGTCCTTCCTTAGGCAGTGAAGCCAGATGAGTGATTTTGAGTTAATTACTCTTTGTCAGTCCTGGGAAGAATGATAATTCACTCTAAAAATCTTGCCAATAAAACTCGTCAGGAATAACTTTGAGTTCACTCCTCAAGTTGCTAAGTAATTTATCATTAGAATAAAATATTAGCCTTTCTTATTGCTCTGTGGTTTGAAAATACACACGCCTGCATATGTATTTTCTTACTTTATATCACCATGTAATTTTTTTATAATTTTAACTACTGTATTACTATGAGAAATTTTTGAAGAAATAGAAAACAAGAAACAGTTAGCCGGTAAGCATTATATATTGAGTAGACCAGTGGTTTTCAACCTTTTCTACACCATGGACCTCCTGGCCACGGACTCCCAAGACTTATCTCAAGTTTTAAATCATAACATTTCTTCAAGGCTTCGCGGACCTCCTATGATAACATAATGGCCACCATAGGGTCCGCAGACCATAGGTTGAGAACCACTGGAGTAGACCATTGTTGAGAAAATACACATTAAAAATATCTTTCTACATTCATATTTCTTTGAATTTTGCAAATCAGTTAGCCAATTAAAAAGGGAAGAATACCTGGACAAAAGTGAAAACAAGCATGAACATATACTAAAAATATCCTAAAATGAACTGCATCCACGAATCTATTTGCAAAATTAAATCAGTTATACAGAACTGAAAACATAAACGAGTATCATGGAATATGCAAAAACAAATTTTAATGAATGCATATTTTTAAAAAAAGCCTAAATGATTTACCAAAGTGAGAAATTGAAAAAAACTTAAAGAACAGGTTCTCAAATCTTAATCATCCATGAATTTTAACATATTTTCCATCTTTTGCACAGGTTTTTGCACTGTTGCAGCATAACATGCCATTTAAATAGGATCAATTCCCCAAAGGAACATATTCCCAAAATACTATCTGAGAGTCACTAATAAATCAAAGGAAAGGTACCATTTCATTTTTAAAATGAAAAAGTTTTAAGCAAGTAAGAGGATTGATGCTATCATTATGTTTCTTCTTCAGCCCAGACGAAATCAACTCAAGATTTATAGGCAAAAGAAACAGAGGGGTTTGTGACAGATGTGCAAGTTGCCATGTCATGCCTGCTAGGAATGGAATCTGCGGTCTGTCTAAAATACTACTGGGCAAGAAAAACACCCATAATCAAAAGCCTTCAGCTTCCAAGCAGAATATCCTGTTAGAGAGTGTTAGAGTTCATCATCGAAAACTGGATCTCAGCATATCCTCCTATGAAAACATTTCCCTCAATCTGGAAATTATCTCTCCCTGAGGAAGCTCCTCTCAGGAGCAGGACAAATGTTTAATTCCTGAAGG